ATAAAACTTGAAGTAATAATATCAAGTAGTGATTGACCTGTGAATGAATATACATCATGTAAATCAACCAACATCATCCCACAAAAACCCTCTAAAGAGTTAGTCTAATACAAATCAAGCTAGAACCAAAATTTTTCGGTGATTTCCTTAAGGGTAGGGATTGCACATGGGTAGGGTTTGGATGGTGATTCCTTGGGGCGTAGGATTGGAACTGGATAGGGTTTCGGATTGGATTTGTGCAATACTTATATCCAAACCCAATTATATCCTCAATCCCCATGCCCTGTCGGGTATCCAATGCAGTTTAAGTTATACTCATCCCAAAATCTAATGGGTTTGGTTATATCTATGAGTACCCATTATCCTTGGATTTTTATGATATATTATTTACCCACGGGATTATCCGTTTATCTACGGACTAATATTGTTTAAAAGTTCAACATTATATTGAATTAAAAATTAAAGTATTTATCCAAATGACACTTATATCATACATAAAGAAAGTATGAAAAACAAGTCAATACATAAATAAATGTTTAAAACAATGATAAATTATAAGTTTTTAACTCCAAAAATGTTCTTATTTATAATACTTCACTGAAATGAAATTGGTAACAAACTATTTAAGTTATTTAAAAATCAATTAAATAGAATAACTCAAAAACCCACATAAAAACTATTATTTATTCTGAACACTTCAAATTACTATTTCAAATTATTGATTGTTTCCATTATTTGAAATTGAAGTTTACATCAAATATTAAAACTTAAATTTTAAATTTCAAGCATATAAAATTTTAAAATTTGACCAATTAAATTAATATGTGAAAATCAGGTAAAGTTGTTTTGTATTACCACTATATTAAATTAAAAGTTAGGTTATAATTATAAAGTAATCCCAATTTATTAAAAAAATTACTATTTACTATAAATTTTTTAAAAATAATAAATTTTTAAATCTCTTGGATTGAATTTCGATAAGGGTTGGGTTCGATTTATATTAGTTAATATCCCATACCCCACCCCATACTTCCCAAAATAAAACTTTCTAGTTTTACCCAGCCCCCTATCCAAACCCAGTCAAAACCCTAACAAATTGGAAATTTGACTAAAGTCGGGTTGGATGGTATACTCATCAGAGTCAGGTTTGATTTTGTTCATCCTTAGTTGAGGTTATCCAAGCAGTTAATTAATCCTTGCTTTGGACTTAAGCCCACTAAATATTCATAGATCATAAGGCATGGCATATTGGAATTTTGCCCCGTGCATATGGAGGAAGCATTTGTTATGGACCCCGAGCTGGAGAATGAAACACGCTTGTCTGCTGGTGAAAAAGAAAAAGAAAATATTAAATTAAAATATTTCCTGGACCATTTTAATTTTTCCTTACACAAGGCAGATTCAGAGTTTTTGACATTTGACATAGAGGAAAACACAATTAAAACTCAACTTGATCTTCCTTTCCCTTTTTTTTTTTTTTTTTTTTTTTTTTGGTATTAAACTTAATCTTCCTTTTTCTTAACAATTAATACTAAAGAAAATAATTTTACCTGTTGAGCAGATAAACTGGTCCAAATCTTCTCAAGTTTTCTTTTATAAAAGCTTACCATTAAGCAAGCAACAAAAGTTTTAGTGATACACAATTTCAGCAAAACGCACCGTAGCATGTTTCATCCACCTGTTTCTCGCCACAAGCCAAGGGTACGCATTACTCACCGCTTCGCTAACTATAAAATCATTTCGCTTCCTTTTCTGTTTGTTATTTTATTTTAATTACAGAGCAACTCTCTTGCTATTGCTCCGATTGCTCGATATAAGCAGAAATGGGACTGATGGTCACCTCTTCAACAATATCTTCTCTCGGCCGGCCGTGGAGGACTGTAAGCCTCTTTTTCTCTTTGTAACCCTTCTTCTTTTCCCCTCTGCTCGTCTCTCTTCTCCTCCCGTCCGCTTTATTATTAGCTATTTGCAAGTTTAGTGTATTGTTTCAGTATGATTCAATTTTGTTTATTTTCGAACCCTAGCTTCTTTTTCAAACGCTATTTTGTTCTTTTTGTAGCTTTGTTTATGGATTTTAGGGTTTAGTTCCTAGAAATTAGAAGGAGACATGAATAAATATCTAGAAATTGTTTTTATGTAGTAAATCTGCTTTTCTGAAACCTAAATTTTCCCTTTTTAACTTGTATAGCTTTGGGTTGTTGGCCTGAGACTTCGTTTGCTGAGAGTTTTAGTTGAATGAACTAGTGATTGATTATTTAGTATTGCTCTGTTATGCTTTGCTTTTTGGAAACCCTAATTTCTATTTCCTTCTGGCATATTGTATGCCTTTTTTTTTTTTTTTTTTTTTTTTTTTTTTTTTTTTTTTTTTGTTTGCTTTTTCGCGTTTTAGTGTAATAGGATAAGGTATCATTCAAATGGTTGGAGATTTTTTTTTTTTTAATATCTTATGATTGTAATATATTGAAACCGTTAATTTAGGGTTTAACTTGAATTTCTCTTTTAAGTTGATCAGAAGGACCAAGAAATTGGGGCTTTTTTCAGTCTCTAAGACTTAAGAAGAATATCAACTATTTTCATGGCTATTCATTTTATCAGTTACAAACTCTAACTTGTTGAATGTGGATCCAATTTTATCATTGTTTAATTTTTTATCATTTTGGTGTTATTATTTCTTGCAGGACTACTGAGTGATATATGCAAGTTAGATGGTGATAAAAAAAAAAATCCACATTAATTCTTTTTAATTTTATCTGCTAATTATCCTGAAATCATAATAATTCTCGCATCCTTTCTTTATTCCTATGTCAAAATGATGGCATTATTTTCCCTTGGAATTCAGTTTGTTTGTTGCATACAGTTTCAAGTTTGGCTTCTGTGAATCCGAAAACAAACGGAACCAACAGTTTAGATAGTTGGATCTATATTGCTGCCACTTAGTCTAGCCTGTATTGCATTAAAATACTGAAAAACCTAATTTTGCTTGGAATTTGATAAACTATTTTTCCATTTTTAATTTATTTTTCTGCTTTTTGTACCTTTAAATTTGGCAATAAGATAGTCAAAAAGTGGGAAAAACTGGAATCTCAAAAATATGGTTTATCTGGTTAAATTTTGAAAATGCCAGAATTCCCCGGGCAGCTTAAAATACATTCTGGAGAAATCCTATGGAAAGAAACAAGGAGGTGGTAAAGCAGTGGAATGGATAAAGCTGATGTTGTAGGAATAACATGGATGAAAGTTACAAGAACAAATCAACTTGGCCATTTCGGAATCAAAGATGGATCTGTACTACAAAATTTCACTGGATTCCGAGGATTCAGGTCTCCATCTTTCAACCCCCCCCTTTTCCCCCCCCTATTGTTTATATTTAAGTTGGACTAATTCCACATGTACAAGTTGCCATTCAACTAGATTCCATTTAGTTATGGAATGCAGCCATTGCTGACCTTTTTTTTCTCTTTAGTGGCATCAATATACTGTTTTGTAACTTGCCTTGACAAGCTGTATGGTGATATTACTTCTTCTATCATGGCTCCATGAATTCTTATTACATTTAATTTTGGTTGCATGCATGCTTTGGATTCCTAGAAGAGGACCTTTAGAACTTGTCCAACAGTAGCGCTACTGATTCTCTTATTTCTTCATGGCCTTGCCGTTCTCAACTCTTGCCAGTTTTCTTGTGTTATCATTTTATGGAACTCTTTTGGCTTTTTTACCTTGATAACATGTATAGGACGTTCATATAATTTCCCAAAGTTAACTTCTCTCTCGATTTCATGCTTTATAGACCTAGCAAACTTGACCAATTATTTCCAAAGCACTTGCTGGAATAACACCAGGAAAGAGAAGCAGGCTTTCAGTTAGTGGCCGTTAATTGGGGGGGATGTTGATCTTAAATGGTTTGGTAACTATATGCTCCTAATTAGATTCTCTTAGCGACGTCGACAACTAGTGGATTTCTTGCCTTTTGAATTTCATATTAAACCTTGCTCTTTACGATGGTTGGTTAGTTTTCTCATATTTGTGCTCCTTCCTTCACTAGCAATATGCGCTGCATATATATATTTATCTTGAGAACTTGCATGCATTTCCAGGAAATATTGCTCACTTTTTCGGTTGGTTCAAAGCAAAAGCATTTGAAAGTAAATCATTAGCAGATGTCTCACAAACCACAAAATCGCAAAGGGAAAATGAATGTTCAATCTTGGAGTTCCATTGTGAGATACAACTGGAGCTAATGAGGTTTATTTTATTATTTTGCACTTATTCATTCCTCTGGGACAGTCTTAGCTGCAACATTTCATTTGCAATGCTTCTATGGCTTACCTCTGTGGCCCTTCCCAAATCTATTTGACTTGCTATGAGATTATAACATATACGGGACTAGCTGGGAAATTATTATCAATTTTAATTTTTGCTTCTTCATTAAAAGTGAGTATTATTATTTCTTAAGCATAATGGTTTATGCTTGCAGGAAAGATTCCTTGATGGAGATAAGTTCCATATTACCTAGTATACAATACCCAGTTTGTTGGTGATTGAAAAATCGTTCCTCCTGCTCAGGTAGTTATTTATTTCTTCATTATTCTTATTATTTTTTGTTGTATGTGCTTGTTCATTTAATAACAAAAAGTAATGTTAAACTGGATGTATCCATGACAAGTAATTTACAAATATTATGTATATGACTCTTTCAACTGCCCAATTGACTTATTATCTATCCACTCTTGCTACAAGGTTTTCGAGACAAAATAATGTCAATGGCAGATGTTGGTTCCTGGAGGTGAAAAGAAGCTGGTTGTTACATTTGATGGTGTTTGCAATCCTGAACACCAACGGTAAAAACCATGGAAATCCGCATGCACACCATATTCACTTAATTTTTGCTGGCTAATTTGAAGACAACCATGAGATGTTCACTCTTTGAATGCTTTGGCATTTCATATGCTGGGCTCTTGATGTTAGTTTTACGGATTTTTTTTCATACAGGGGTCGTTACAATGTCGAACTTCATTTTCATTTGCGGCCCGAAGGACAGGCCAATGATTTCAACAATTCAGTACAGCAGTGTTGTTTCGCCTCTTCTTTGCTTCCCAAAGGTTTACCCCCATCTTTAATAGGCCACTGATTCGTTTATCTGCGAAACTGCGATGACTATTTTCAAATTGTATTTGGCTTGGTTTTTCTTCATAAATGTTGTGATTTTTTTATTCCCTATTGAGAGGTCATTGCAGCTTGTTCTTATGACCCTTCTCACTCAATGGGTTATAACATTTTTTTCACTGCAGTCTAACCAGCCACCATTACCTTTGTTATTGTTACTCTGATACCCACCTATTCGCAAAGGGCCAAACTTTGTTATCCACACATGTGTACAGGGTATCATTTAAGTTACTTAGGATTTGTTTCTTATAATAAATTACTTTCATGGAACTTAAATTGTTTGTTCTATTTTGTGTATAGTTTGATACCGACAATGTCGTTCAGAGCTCTGTCAATAAATTTGAAGACCTTTTAAGCACAAAGTCATAAGGAAAGTTAGGAAATATCTTATAAGGGTAATAGCTATGCTTTTTTTGTTCTTCCTTTTCTGTTCTGAACAGGTACAAATACCCATTGTGTTTTTAAGTTTTGAAGAGAGAATGACTTGGAATTTTTTCTACAAAGATTGGAAACATGCCTTTCCATGCTTTGGTTTCTCATCAAACAGGGGACTCATTATGAGTTGTTTACAACAATTTACTGCCCGTGGACTATTCTGGTGCTAAAGTTACTAAACCAGGAAATTCCGCAGCTGTCAAGGATGGTTATGCTGTGAAGTCATCATTCGAAAAGCTTGAAGATGCCTTTCTTTATATTCCACTTGGAGAAAAGCTTCTTTCTCTTACCCAAACCTCCAACTCTCATTCTTCATGAGGAGGTACCAATGGTTTTTCATTTAAGCTGGTGCAGTAATATGTTTCTAAAGGAATATTTGTTTCTTTTGATTTTTGCCGGTTTCCTCAGTAGTTTCCCTTGTTTGGTTCATATGCAAGATTGATTTATGTTGAATTTGAGAGGCATGCAGCTGGTGGCTTCAAATATGGCATATACTTTGATCTTCATTATTAGACTCAAAACTGAACAAGAACATCTGTTTCGGAACATCAGAGAAATGAGTACCACAATCTTTTGATTCATTAGGAAAGTTCCTTTCTTGTTTATGTCCCTAGCATGGCTGTTCTTTCATATTCTTTACTGAAAGCTTTATGTTTCGTTTTCCATACAGCTGGGGAAGGGTCTGAAAATTATGGAATCTGGGTGATAGCAAAGCTACAAATGGAGTGGCCGCTGTTCTTCCAGAATTGATGATGATGATCGGTTGATCCACATCTTGAAGCGCATTAAGAATGAAAGCTGGAGCATGAGAGTGATTGAAGAGGTAAAATTTTTAGTTAATGGTTTAATGCATATTAATCTTCCATTAGGCTTAGAGACACTGTAACGTAACTTGGTAGACTTTCATTTCATCCATGACTGCGTGTATGTGTATCGCCATGTGTATAGACACACTTAATACAAACAGTGATATAAAATTCACTCCTTAAAAATGGCCACCCTCAACTTTTACTTTGACGCATTAAACCACTTCAACTTATAAATTCCACCTATTGGACATTTCACTTGTGGAATTATTTTATTGAGCATTTCAACTTTGGCAAATTATATTAAAATAACACCTAATTAAATAAGTTGGAGGAAAAATGTGAAAATTGTTTGTTTTTAAAAGTTATGCTAATACAACATCAAATTAATATTTTGTCAAGGCTAAAATTAGTTTGGAATATACAATCCATATCGAATTTCAAATCGAATTTCCATTTGGAATTGGAATTTTGAATGTAGAATTTTAAAGTGGAATCGTAACTCTTTTAAAATATTGGTATATGGAATATGGAGTAGAAACTAATAAGAAATTTCCAATTCCGATCTATTTATACCAGACTCTATTTTTTCTCATATTTGTTTTAATTATTATCATAAAATTAAGAACTTGAGTAAAATATTTTCGAAAATTTAATAATTAAAGAAAACTCTTATTTCATTCTAAAACATTATAGTCTTAATGAAATACTTTATCATAATAATTATTCAATACTAAGGCTTGAATATCAAAGAGTCAAAATACAAAAAGAAGGCATGCCTTTACAGAGGTCACACATTTGCATTTTATCATTGATCTTTTGAAGTATTGTCAAGTTGATTTAGGAAAAAGTATCATCATTCCCTTTTTGATGCTGACAAGCATTTTTTTTTTTTTTCAACATGATCAACTTTTGAAAATTTCTAAAACTTTTTGATAACAAATTGCTCCCTTGATCTGTTTTTTTGCTTTTAATTCTTATTTTCTATTTCTAATTTCTATTTTAAAATTCTTTACTATATCTATTCATTAGTCGCCACTAACTTTTATAGTTTTTCCAATATTTTGCCTTGTAAGCCGAATACAAATTGAACCCACTGTTTTGACACACTTTGTATGGTTACATGTGCATCCCCTAGCCATTTCTGAGAGTAATGGTCAAATTTGGTTGTGACAGAAAATAGAATCTAATAATCTTACAGGGATTGAAGATTTTGTTTGCTGACAAAGATGATGGAGGCCTCCCCTACTGATGATTCTGGGCAGGAAGAATTCTTGATGCTAGTTGACAGTTGGATGGTGAGAAAAAGGTAAAGCATTCTCTCTGCCGCATTTATTGAAACTAAACTTTTAGATGGTTAACTGTTTGTATATTTTATGTCAAATGGATTGCCAATTTCAGAAGCCCACGTAAAAAAGGGAATCTACTAAAGGAGCCTTCATCTTCTAAGCCAGGCATCTTAAGAAGAGATCCAAAGATGCAAATGAAGGATTTGCTAAGAAGAAAAAAACCCAGAAAAAGAAGAAGGATCCACAATGCACCAAAAAAGGCAATCGGTCTGGTTTTCATGTTCTTCTTCACAAATGGAAAGGGAGGTGAGGGCCTAATTCTCTTCCATTGCAATCAAATCAAAAGATATCTAGCGTGATTATTAAATTTACTCGAATAAAAGCTTGCTAATTTGGCATGTTGATGGCAGAATGTTAAGAAAAAGTCATCTGGCAATTTGCTTTTGCAGGGTGTTTGAGCAAAGTTAACTCGGGAGATAGGTTGGAAACAATTGTTCAGGTTGCAATATTCTCTTCGTGATTTTTGTTTTTTACATTGTACTTATTTAAAGATAGGGGTTCTGTTTAAGGTTTTCTGCATTTTGTTTTTGTGTCTTGATATTGCAGCGAGGAAAGAAGAAACCATATGAAGCAAAGGCTCGAGCAGATCAAAAAAGCGTTATGGAAGAAGAAGTCAGCGGCTACAAGAACCCACAGCCCACAGTGAATGTAGACTCGGGGAATGAAAATCTGATACGGAAATAGATAGTAGTAATAATGCTAATTTACGAAATTTGAGGACTGGAGGAATCCTTTTCTGCTGTTAAAGCCCATTATTTGCATTCTAAATTTCTGTCAATGGGATATTGGTTAGAAATTCGTATCTTTTTATATGGGTTTTGCTTGGCAATAAATGAAAGAGGTCTTTGTGGTTTTTGAATGCGGAAAGGATGGCTTTTATTTTTTCTTCTCATTTTATTTCCTATATCCATTTGGCGGTTTAAGGACGGAAGGAACGGCCATGCACGTGTGTGTTACGTAATTTCTGTCCTGTCCCTAAAAATATATTAAAAAAGGTTGTTATAGTTATCAATGTAATTTTAAATAAAATTTATCCATTACAAATAGTAAAAAAGTAAATAATTTAATATTCATATATTTTATTGAACTATTGTAGGTTGCTGCTTATATTTAGCATTATAAACATAAAAATCTCAAGCTAATCAAATTTTACAATTTTCTTATGAATCTTGCAATAAAAAAAAAAAAAATAGTTAAAACCAAATAATTTCAAACAGATAATTCAAGTAGTCAGGGACGAATTAAAATTTTACGTTTATTTTAACTTAGAGTTTTAAAAAAATAAAGTCAAATAATTTAAATTATTAATCCAAAGAAGGCTTCTAACGATTTCAAGTTACTTGGTATTTAATTTTACCATTTATTCTATAAATTTTAACTCATCATAAGTGCTATTTTATTTGCCGTTCATATTCAAATTTTGGATCTTATTTTTATCTTCATTCCCAAGTATTAACATCTTATTAGACTCCGTTTGCTTCAAACTCAACTTCAAATTGTAGTGGATTAGTTAATTTTTGATACTCCATACATATCCTTAAACCTACTTAATTGTATTCTTAAATCTACTATAAATAGATTTTTATGGGCTAGATATCTACGAAAACTCCACTCGGGTTCCACCCATAACCACATCAATAACTTTGAATTAATATAAACGATGAAACTAGGCCAACGCGGTTCAAAATTTTTAAAATATTGAACTTTGAAATGGCCTTGGAACAGGTTCTAGCCGGTTTCAGTTTGATCAGTTTCAGTGCGGTTCTGAGTAAACCGACTGGTCCTAAATCACTGTTTTCTGGTTATTTATGTTTTTTTTTTATTAGTTCTAATATTACATCTTTCTTTCAAAAAATATTAATATGAGCTTAAAAAAATATTGGTAAATTTTATTTTAAATAAATTTAGAATTGGCTTCATATCATATAAGAATAAAATTAATTAATTTACAAAATAATCAAATAAATTACACTTTATGTAATAAACCCCGAATCTTATTTTTCGAAACTTTTTGAAAATTTTTATAAATCAAAAATCAGAAATTTTAATTCATGTGGACTGCAAGTTTAACAATAGCCTCAATTCAAGCCCAAGTTTACGAAGTTGGGCTCAAGCCAAAACACCATTATCGAAATTATCAAAAATATATTATATATATATATATATATATATGATTATTAATATTAACATTAAGCTAAATTGAAGGAATGTTATAGAACCTAACTAAAATAATCAAAATAAATTAAACCGGACCTAAAAATCAATTTAATTTGTCCGAGAAACCACACGAAGGATCCGAAAAATCGATCGTGGAAAACTCGAAAAACCAAACGAAAATGAGACCAAAATCACTAATCAGACCGAACCGGTTCGGAATCGAACCCGGATCGGCCCACTTTTCTTTTCTTTTCTTTTTCTTTCTTTTTTTCTTTTCTTTTCTTTTCTTCCTTCTCCTTCTTCCAGTAGCCTGGCCTCCCCTCCTCCTCCTCTCCATTCCTCTCCTTCGATCTCCTTCCTCCGGCCACCAAATTCACAAATGAATACTTCTAAAAATATCCTACTCAAACGTGAGGGAAGAAGATTATAGCTTAGATTTGAACTGAAATGCTGTCTATTTTGAAGGGAAGAGCTTGAAGTTTTGGACACCTTTTTCCGACGATTCACCGCCGTTTTCAGGCAAGCCTTGGACACAAGGTGAGACCAAATTGACTCCTCTCTTCTTCCTTCTTTCAATTTGATTGCCTCCTCGTCGACTTGTAAAGCCGGAATTCGGAAAACCCAATGGGTAAATCACCGAACCTTTCCCGCCCTAATTTCCGGCCAAACTGGTTCCACCCCACCTTGATTTTGAACCACATATTAGTGATCCTCTCATCGAAAACGAATAAAATGATGTATTTGTTTGTCAAATTTTTGGTGAAGGTTAAATTTTCCGGCCACGTGCACGTGGCGGCGGCGGCGGTCCGGGCGACCGGCCGGCGAAGACTCCGGCGAGACTTCAAGGACAGAATGTCTCCTCTTCGTGCGGAACACGGAAATGAAATTTTGATTTTAAATCGGTACCACTCTAAAAGCTTAATCCGCAATTTTTAATAAATTCTGAATTTAATTAATTAATGAACTTAATAAAGTATTTAAGTAAATTAAATTAAGATATTTATTAAATAGATTTATGAATATTAATTATAAGCTAAAGGTTTGGTACAAAAAAAAAAAAAATATATTCCTAGCTAATAATAAAATTTTAGGAATTTTATTAACAAATTAAAATAGTTATAGGAACAATTAATTATAATGGCATTCATGTGAATTAACAGGTACCGAATAAATGATGGATATGCGGACGGGTTTAGTGGATATGAATTTGCCCGATGGATGGCGGTTGTGTTGTGGATTTGTGAAAATTTTGAAAAAAATTTGGATAGCCAGTTTATAGAGGAAATGCATCGAAATTTTAATAAAACACTAATGAAGAATTAAATTAGTATTCTTAAAAGTAGTGACGGACGAAAATTTGAGTATTAAGAAAATATTATACAAAATATTAGAATTATCATTATATTAATATTTCTCACCGAATAATTAGACATTTTATCTGAAGGTTATAAATTAGAATAGTTATTTATATAAATGAGAGAACCTTAGATATATATATGATATATAACAAGTGAATTAAAGACCGGTAGCCAAAGAAATAAACGAATGTGAAATATAAGTTTTGAATTAAAAAAATTTCCTTATTAGAATTTCTATGTTTATTTTTAAAGGCTTTATAAAAATACAAAATGCGAGAAACAAAAGCTGGACCAGAGTGGCTAAAAAGGCAGTCCTTTTAAGGACAATAAAGAACTGTGAGTTATGTTAGATAACTAAGCGTTCATCCGCCTGCATTCATGCATTCACGGCTTAAATGTTATCATGGCATTATTTTGTTGAATTGCCCATATTATGAGCACTTATTCGTTGATATTAAAATTGTTATGATACTTGTGCTTACTGATATACTGTTGCCTTGTTTGTGTGGAATTGGTGATGACGTTGGACCACCATGGGTGTGAGACGGTCTGTGATAGGATCCTGAATATATCATGATATGGAATTTGACGACGGCCGGGAAAATGGGAGATCGGGCCCCCGTGTGCACCTGATGATCATGGATTATATGGAAAACCACAGGATGGCTTCTCTTGTGGTTGCGCACCTGATAATCTAGATTTGATTGTACGCCCGCCAGGGTGCCTCCTGTTGTGAGCACTTGATTGATCTGATTGGATGGAACCAACCGGGTTGCCTCCTGTTGGTATGGAAAAAGAAAAAGAAGAGAATGGAAAAACAATGAGAGGACTGGTCCATGAGGATTAGACCAGTTGGCCGTATGGGGGATCTGGCATCCCTGGGTGCACATGTATGAGAGGGGCGAGCCATGTGTCGAGGACGGCTCGCTGGGGATTCAGGTGGTGCCATTGACTAATTTCACCGTGATGTGATTATATGAAGGTGATAAATACTTGTGATGCTGTATGTATTGCCATTTGTGTGACAAAGTGCATGATCATATAATTAAAAACGGTAAACCGGAAAAAATATTAGCATCTTGTGTGATGGTGGGGTTGACGAGGGTTATCATAACCTACTCATTGAGTTTGGCGCTACCCTCCTACTATTTTTTCAGCGGTCAATAGAAAGAAAGGAAAAGCCCTATGGAGTTGAGACACTTATTGTAGAAGAATTGTTAATGAATAGAAATAACGATGTGAATGTAAAGGTTTAGAGTTCCGCAATTGGTATTCCAGTTGGGTTGTTAACAAATAGTAAAAGTCCATATTAAATATTATGAACTGCATTTTGGATGGCATAATGTATAAAATGGTTAATGGGCCTGAATCCATAATTATGAATAGAAAGTGAGATTTAAAATAAGTAGGCTTACACGGGCCTTCGGGGGGCCTTAAGCCCACTAGGTCCTAGTGCCGGTCCGGTCCATTGGAAACTGGGTCGTGACAAAGTGGTATCAGAGCATTAAGTCGGGCCTTAGCGATCAATTTGCGGAACATAGGAAATTAAATAGAGAGCTCCTTATGCTTGGGACGGCCGTAACCAACAAAGGAGGTGTAGTCTGGATTAATTCCATTTTAGTGCCTGGTGGACTCATCGTGCACGAGGATGGGAAGGAAAATCTATATGAAACTAGGATGAGATTAAATGTATATAAGTAATAGTAAATCCATAAAAAGGTCCGGGTAACTGACGTTTATTAAAATAAACATTTTCGAGTTTTTGCTTAAAATCCCCTCCATCATTTTGAAGCAGGGAAGATCAGTTAGGAAAATTGGTTGTTTAATGGCCTGATCACCCAGTACACCATTGATTTCGACAAGAGGACACTGCTTTCAAAAAAAAAAAAAAAAAAAAAAAAAAAATTTGAAATTATTTAGAAAAGAAAATTCCGGAGTTTTAAAGACAATAAGAAAGTTAAAATTTATTTGAACTATGATTTGAGGAAACATCGTTTTATTATTTAGGCCTTATTGGAAATTGTTTGGAAGTTGCCAATTAATTGCTTGGTTTTATTGTTTTGTCGGCATGTCAAAAAAAAAATTTATCTTGATTTTAGAATTTAAATATTTTACAAATGATTGCATTGTTTGATTTATTTTATCATATTGTCTATCCCGAGGACTAAATTAGGCCTATAATAAATAATAATTTGATAAATTAATAATAAATGGTATAGAATATGAATTTGAATTAAAATTTCAATTAAGATATTAGATTAAATTCTAGAAATGTTACTTTAGGGAATAAAAAGTTGAAAATTGTAATGTACATTAAATTAAAGGGTTAGCAAAAGAAGCGATTTTTGGACAAATAGTCATTACTAGACAAGAAATCCTCCAATTAACCAAGCAGAAACTTAAAGGATGTAAAGAGAAAATTTTTGAACTTACTTAAACATAACATTAAGGAGGATAGAGACTTATTGGAAAAATTAAATAGGGTTAGACGTGGAAACATAATGTGTTCTATAAAAGTATTTGATTGAGGTGAATCTCGACATATAGAATTTAAATTAGAGCAATTGAAAATAAAATAAAAGACAAAGGTAAAACTAATTATGTGATTAAATATGAAAAATATTTTTAACTGGATAGTCATATTTGAGGGAGGCAGAATATAATAAGGAAATGGGTAAACTTTCCTTTGCACAACTAATATGAAGGGGTTAAAAAAAGATTTTTTTTTTTTTTTTGGGGTTTAATATAGAATTAAAAGGTAAAATTGCGATTGGTTAAATTAATTGGGCAAAAGTTTGAATCGAAAATTTGATTAATATTGGAAAAGAAATTGACTATAGTTAATTAGAAGTGATATTCAAGCCATGAAATACATTATGAAATCTTTTATAATAAAATGAGGCAATTGATTGAATCGATAAATAGGGACTTTATGGAACTAATGTGCTTAACAAGGGATAGTTGGTATAATCTAAAAATTTATAAGGGTGAAAGTAGTAGTAAGTGTATTAGATATTATTATAACTTAAGATCCTAGACATGTAGGGATGCTTAAAGGCTAGACTAAAGTTCATAAATCTATTATAATAAAAATGATGAATGTAGAAGATGATGAATAATGGGAATGAATGGGAAAGGAACTGGATGCTGTAGGGAAAGCTTATAAATTAAGGCGAAATTGGATGTTATCTAGGGTAGAGAGTTATGTAGAAAGGACTAATACCATTTATTAATCTAAGGTAATGATAAGAAACGTGTATAAACCTGCTTTAAAGAATTTAAGTACAAATTTTTAGATCGGAGCGTGCTAAAAATAAAAATAAATAAATAAAAGTTAATAAAATTTGGAAGAGAATAAAGGTCCAAAGATAACTCATAATGATGAAGTAGAGATAAAAAAAAAAAAAAAAAATTAGAATAAGAAATTCAAGAAAAATAATGACCTGACGACGGAAATTTAAATTTTTGTGTAGAAAACGGTTTTTTTTTTACCCACGCCCCATAGATTTCATGATGTACCCAGCATTAAACTCTTTCAGGGATAGGACTTAAAATAGGTTGTACACTAAGGAGACATGAATGATAAAAGAAAGATTTAAAATGAATCAAACAGCTATAAAGAACTTGGATTAGAACTAGGGGATGTTAAATAATAGAACAAGCAATGATGATCAATTAATTTATCTACTGTGGAAATACTAGAATAAATAATTAGAAACAAATTGGGAAAAGAAGTAAAATTCAGATGGTAAAAGAAATATACAGTATATATATAAAAAAAAATGATGATAAAATAAGTAACGAAATAAATAAAGATAAAAATAATAATATAAATTATAAATATAAATATAAATATTAAATATAAATCACTACTGAAAATAACTTGGGAAAATTTAAGGATGTGGACCATCTACTTGAGAGACTTAGTAATAGCGAAAGGAATAGTATGATGAGCGAGATTAGACATATCTTGGGTTTAAGAGGATCATTTAGGGATAAATATGTTAACAGTAGACTGGAACTTAGATGATTTAGGTTGTCCTCGTGAGATAAGATATTCATTTTTGTTAAATACAAAAGGTTTTAAGAAAATTACAATGAGTGTTGATTTCTTCAAACTTTATAAAAATATTTTTTATACCACGATTGAGGATGTTTTAAAATAAAAGGTTAAATGCAATTTCTATTAAAAAGAATTTCAAGCGGTTTGTGTGAGTGACATGCCGATGTTTTTTAAAAGTTGGAAAGGAAAATTATTTTGAAAGTTTCTAAATAGTCAGTTACCCATTAGATGGTTCAACCTAGCTGTAGTTGTCAACTCATAGTCGAATTATTGAATAAACAATTTAATCTAATAATTTTATAAACGGTGAAACAATGTTATAGTGGAAATATGAATAAATGAGGACTCTTAAGTTACTCAAAAATCTTTAGTAGACAACATTTGATGAAATGCAACGCTGATATGAGATAATTAGTGTTGTAGACTATTATTATACATGAACTCATTAAAATGGAAATTTTTCTCAAGAATAAGAAATACAAAT